AACATTTATCATTTATTTGTAGTGAGAACATTTAAAATCTACTCTTCTAGCTATTTGAAAGCATATAATTATTTGTTGTTAATTATAGTCACACCATAGTACTACAGAACACTGGGACATATTCTTCCTATATGGCTGTACTTTTGTATCCATTAACCAACATTTGAGAGTGTCTTCTCTTCCCTTCCCTTCTCTGCCTCTAGTACCACCATTCTACTCTCCACATCTGTGAGATCAACTTTTTAAGTTTTCATATGTTAGTAAAAACATACAGTATTTGTCTTTCTGCACCTGAATTTTTCATTTAACATAATGTCCTCCAAGCTCATCCATATTACTGTGAATTACAGAATTTTATTTTTTAATGGGTAAATAGCATTCCATTAGGTATACATACCACATTTTCTTCATTCATGTGTTTATAGAGACTTAGGTTGATTTCATATCTTAGCCATTGGGAATAGTACTGCAATAAATATGGGAGCACAGATATCTCTTTGTCATACTGATTTCCTTTCCTTTGGATATATATACTCAGTAGTAGGATTGCTAGATCATTGGTAGTTTCAGTTTTTTGAGAAACTTCCTTATTATTTTCTACAATGGCTATACTAATTTACATTCCCACCAACAGTGTGTAACAGTTTCCCTTTCTCTACTTCCTTACCAACACTTGTCACATTCTTGTCTTTTTTAATAGTTATTTTAACTGGGGTGAGATAATATCTCATTGTGGTTTTGATTTGCATTTCCCTGATGATTAGTGATGTTGAGCATTTTTTCACATACTTGGGCATCTGCCTGTCTTCTTTTGAGAGATATTGATTCAGTTGTTTGCCTGTTTTTAAATTGGGTTATTTGAGTTGTTTCAGTTCCTTGTATATTCTAGTATTAAACCCCTGTCAAATGAATAGTTTGCAAATATTTTCTCCCATTCTTCAGGTTGTCTCTTCATTCTGTTTGTTTCCTTTGCTACACAGAAGGCTTTGAGTTTAACTAACACCGTTTGTCTATGTTTGTTTTCGTGTCTGTGCTTTGAGATGTTCTCCATAATACCTTTGTTCAGATCAGTGTCCTAAAGTGTTTCTCCTATTATATTTTTTTCTTATACTTTCATAGTTTGGAATCTTATGTTTAAATCTTTAATCCATTTAGAGTTTATTTATTTATTTGACAGAGTCTCACTCTGGTCCCCTGGCTGGAGTACAGTGGCATGATCTCAGTTCACTGTTGCCTCGACCTCCCAGGTTCAAGTAATCCTCCCACCTCAGTTCCCCAAATACCTGGGACTACAGATGTGCACCGTCATGCCCAGCTAATTTTTGTGTTTTTTGTAGAGGTGGGGTTTTGCCATGTTGTCTATAGCTGGTCTTGATCTCCTGGACTCAAGCAATCTTTCTGCCTCAGCCTCCCAAAGTGCTAGGATTATAGGCGTGAGCCACCGTGTTCAGTCCTCAGTCTAGAGTTGACTTTTTAATACAGTGAGAGATAGTGGTCTATATATTTTTTCTGCATATGGATATCCAGTTTTCCCAGCCCCATTTGTTGGAGAGACTGTTACTTCCTCCATGTATGGTCTTCTTGGCTATGTCAAAAATGACTAGGCTATAAATACATGAATTTATTTCTGGATTATCTATTCTGTTTCAATGGTCTATTTGTCTGTTTTCATGCCAATACCATCTTGTTTTATTTTTAAATTTATTTTTATTTTTGGTAGAGATGGCATCTCTCTTTGTTGTCTGGGCTAGTCTTGAACTCCTGGCCTTAAGCAATTCTCCTATCTCAGCCACTTAAAGTGCTGGAATTACAGGCATAAACCACTGTACCTAGCCACCATCCTGTTTCAGTTAATAAAGGTTTGTAGTATATTTTGACATTTGGTAGTGTGATGCCTTTAGCTACATTCTTTTAGCAAGGATTGATTTGACTATTCAGAGTCTTTTGTGGTTACATAAAATCTTTAGTATTTTTTTCTATTTTTGTGAAGAACACAATTGGTATTTTGATATGAGCTTCATTGAATCTGTAGATTATTTTTGGTAGTGTGGTTATTTTCACAATATCAATTTTTCCAATCCATGAACATGGGATGTCTTTTTATTTTTGTGTATGTCCTCTTTAATTTCTTTTATCAATGTCTTATAGTTTTCCTTGGAGACATCTTTCATCTCTTTTTAAAAATTTATTCCTAGGGTTTTTTTTTAAAGCTATTATAAATGGAATTGGTTTCTTGATGTTTTCCCACTAGTTAGTTGTTGATATATAGAAATAGTACTAATTTTTGCATTTAATTTTGTCTTGTGACTTTACTGACTTGTTTGTCATATCTAAGTTTCTTTTCTGTGAAGCTTTTAGGTTTTTCTATATATAAGACTATGTCATTTGCAAACAGGGAAAATTTGACTTCCTCCTTTCCAATTTGGATGCCCTTCATTTCATTTTGTTGCATAAATGCTCTGGCTAGGACTCCCAGTACTATGTTGAATAAAAGTGGCAAAAATGGGCATCCTTGTCTTGTTTCAGAACTTAAAGCAAAAAGTGGCTACTTTTCACTGTTCAGTTTGCTTTAGGCTGTGGGTTTGTATTTTATTGTGCTGAGATACATTCCTTCTGTATGCCTAACTTGTTGAGAGGGTTTTTTAAATCATGAAAAGATGTTCAATTTTATCAAATGTTTTTTCTGTTTCTATTGAAATGGTCATATAGTTTTTGTCCTTTGTTCTCTTGATATGTTTTACATTTATTTATTTATATATGTTGAACCATTATTGCAGTCCTGGAATAAGTCTCACTTGACCACAGTGAGTGATCTTCTTAATGTGCGGCTGAATTAAGTTTGCTAGTATTATTTTGAAGGTAGAACTATTTAATAATGTTGATTTTGCTTGTTAACATCAGGGAAAAAATAACTTCCTTTATTCATGTAAAATATACATCATTCTTATGCCTTCGTGTCCTCATAGCTTAGCTCTCACTTATAAATGAGAACATACGATCATATGATGTTTGGTTTTCCATTCCTGGTTACTTCATTTAGAAAAATGGCAAATAAAGAAGTTAAATGTAAAGTTCCAAACATGAAAATATAAATGTAGACACTCACATAAGGGTGTCCTTTCCCCACTTTATGTTTTTGTTTGCTTTGTCAAAGATCAATTGAGTGTGAGTATTTGGGTTTATTTCTGGGTTTTAAAAAAAAATCACCATTTCAATCTTGCTGCTTGTTATTGGTCTGTTCAGAGTTTCTATTTCTTCCTGGTTTAATCTAGGAGGGTTGTATATGTCCAGAAATTTTTCCATCTCCTCTAAATTTTCTAGTTTGTGCACACAAAGGTATTCATAGCAGCCTTGAGTAATCTTTTGTTTGTCTGTGGTATTGGTTGTATCTTCCGTTTTGTTTCTAATTGAGCTTATTTGGATCTTCTCTCTCTTTTCTTGGTCTATCAGTATTGTTCATCTTTTCAAAGAACAAACTTTTTGTTTTACTTATCTTTTGTATTTTTTTGTTTTCAGACAGAGTCTCACTCCATTGCCAGGCACTAGGATGGTGTGCGGTGGCGCGATCTCGGCTCACTGCAACCTCTGCCTCCCAGGTTCGAGCAATTCTCCTGCCTCAGCCTCCCCAGGACCTGGGACAACAGGCGCGCACCATGACACCCAGCTAATTTTGTATTTTTAGAGACGGGGTTTCACCATGTTGGCCAGGATCGTCTTGATCTCTTGACCTTGTGATCCGCCCACCTCAGCCTCCCAAAATGCTGGACTTATAGGCGTGAGCCACCACGCCCGGCATCTTTTGTATTTTTTGTTTCAATTTTATTTAATTCTACTCTATCTTTTGCTATTTCTTTTCTACTGTTGGTTTGTTCTTGTTTCTCTATTTCCTTGAGATGCGACCTTAGGTCAATTTGTGCTCCTTTAGAACTCTCCTCTTAGCACTGCTTTTGCTGTATCCCAGAATTTTGATAAGTTTTGTTGCTATTATCATTCAATTCAAGGAATTTTTAAATTTTCATCTTGATTTCATTGTTGACTCACTGATCATTCAGTAGCAGATTATTTAATATTCATATATTTGCATGGTTTTGAGGGTTTCTTTGGGAATTGATTTCCAGTTTTATTCCACTGCTGTCTGAGAGAGTACTTGATATAATTTTGATTTTCTTAAATTTGTTGAGACTTGTTTTGTGACCTATCAGATGGTCCATCTTAGAGAATGTTCCATATGCTGATGAATAGAATGCATATTCCGCAGCTGTTGAGTAGAATGTTCTGTAAATATCTGTCAGCCCGTTTGTTCTAGGTTATAGTTTAAGTCAATTGTTTCTTTGTTGACTTTATGTCTTGATGACTTGTCTAGTGCTGTCAGTGGAGTATTGAAGTCTCCCACTATTATTGTGTTGCCATCTATCTCATTTCTTAGATCTAGTAGTCATTGTTTTATAAATGTGGGAGTTCCAGTGTCAGGTGCACATATATTTAAGACTGTGATATTTTCCTGTTGGATTAGTCCTTTTATCATTATATAATATTCTTCTTTTTCTTTTTAAACTGTTGATGCTTTAAAGCCTGTTTTGTCTGTGTTAGGTTTTGAAGGGAAGATGAGGGTTAAAGAAAGACACACACACAGAGAAAGGGCAGCTTAACAGCAAGTACAGGCTTTAATGTCCAGCATAAGACCTATAGAGGTGGGAGACCAGCTTAACGTCAGTGCCCATGACTGTTTACAGGGTGGGGCCATTTATAGGCCTAGGCAGGAGGGATTTGGGGAGACATGGCCTGCTTTCTGGGAAAGTGTTGATAACATTCCCAGAACGAGGTAGTTCTGGCCCCTGTTGCTGTGGCATGTGGTGTTCCTTGCACTTTTTCCCAGCAGACTATGATAAGAGGAAGGTTATTTCTCAATGACCAAATCCCTATGGAATGTTTCACGTTGAGCAAGGTCTGCAAAATGGCAGGGATGATGGGGGGTTATAAAACAGAGCAGTTTGAACTTTGTTGCCTTCTACTTTAGCATAAAAGGACGAAGGGCACTGTTGATTATCTGGCTGTTTCCTGTTGAATTAGGGGCACCGTAATCAGGTTTGGGGTTTTGAAGTAGTGGGTGTTTGACTTGAGAGTTGTTTTTCTGGAGGTGCTGATACTGGACTTGGTGGAGGAAAAGGACCGTATCAATGTGTTTCTGGATGAGTGCCTGAACAAGGGAGTTCAGCCTTTGGGAGGTTGAGTGGGATGATATGAAGGTGAGTATATATGGGCCAATTGTTAGTGAAGAGGAGGAAGACTGGGGGCCCTGAGAAAGGGATAATCTGCTATCGTGGTTTTGAGTGCAGCAGAGATGTTCAGTCCTGAAATGGTAAAGGTTCCCTTGTCCCCCTCACCGGGTGTGCAATGGGAGTGTGACTCACTTCTTCAGTACCCTGCTGCTCAGACCTCTAGGGGAGTATACAGAGGGGCAGGCTGTGGGGCTGTGACCCCACGGCAGTGTCTAGGGGTGAGTGTTTACAGCTGAGGCCCTAGTGGGTGTGTGTTAGAATGTGCTCTTTTAGTTTAGCCATCTGTAGGCCGCTTGTGTTAACCAGCTCAATTAGATCCTCTACCTGGTCACAAGGACAGAGGGCTTCCTGTATCCTGGGTTCTTGTTTTGGCGTACCAGCAGAATTGGATTACACATGGGCTTGGAGAATGAGTGCAAGGTTTTATTGAATGGAAGTAGCTCTCAGAGCCAGAAGGGAGATGGTTTTCCCCTGGAATCCGGCCGCTCGGTGGCCCAGGCTCTCCTCTAACTGCCCCTGCCAAATTCCACATCTTTCTGCAGGTTGGTGGCCTGCCAGCATGCCAGTGCCTGTTGGTGCATTCCTCTCGAATTCCAGCCGCACATGTGTTCCTCCGCTGACATGCTCCTCTCGACGTCCAGCTGCCTGTGTTCTTCCGCTGATCGGCTCCTCATGACGTCCAGCCACTTGTGAGTCTGCCCACTAGAGTGTTGGGTTTTTATGGGCACAGGATGGGGGCATGGCAGGCCAGGGTGGTCTTGGGAAATCCAACATTTGGGTAGCAAATGCCTGTCCTCACCTAGGTTTGTAGGAGTGGAGACCTAGCCAGGGACCATGCCCTCCTCTACCCAGCACTTCCCTTTCCCCCTTCTGTATCATTTAAAGGGACCACACTCTTCCCTTTCTAGCACTTCAGACCTGCTAACAGGGGAATCATGTGTATAGTTAGTCTGGTGTGTGTGGAGAGGGAGGAAATAGAGTTGACTAAAGGAAGCTGAATAGTTTGGTTGTTGGCAAAATGTTAACATCTGGAGATTGAAACACCAAGGTATATATTCCTGACCAATTTGCTGGCAGGCAAAGATGGGTTTGTGCTACACAGAAGGAAGACAATCGGGGCGGACAGATAAAAGTTGTAGGTTGTGGTGGCAAGCCATGAGAAGGTGGGGGTTGAATCCTGGATAAACTTTTTGTTTAGACCTTTTGTTTTTCCACGTTGAATGGTTGTTAGTAAGGGTAGCCCCTGGGAAGGCTTGATAGGGAATGTGGGTCAGGGAGGAAAGGAAGCCTGTTTGGTTTTGGAGAGAGAGAGAGAGAGACAGAGAGAGAGAGAGAAATAGGCTTTTGTAATTAATAGCCACTGTGGTCCTGATAGGGTTGAAGGGTATAGGTTGCAGTTAAGAGAATGGATTGGCTAAGTAGATGAGATGTAGGTTTATTTTGGACTGGGTTTATGTGGTTAGATTAACAGGAAGGGCTGTGAACGGCTGGATTTGTGTGGACAAATACATTTAACAGTTGGAAGAAAGAGGGGAGTATGACTGATTTAAGAGGTAATGTGTGAGGTTGACAAAGGGGACCCTACTGCCAGAGGCTGGGGGTGGGGACTTAGAGTATCTCACAAAGAAGACAAAAGGAGATTTCAGTAGGAGTGAAATTTTGGAAGATGCCCTTTAGCCATAGCTCCTGGATTAGTGCAGGAAATTGGAGTGGACTATCCAGGGAAGGGGGACCAGGAAAGATCTGAAACGATGTATGAGCGAAGAGATTTGAAATTGGAGGCGGAGAGTGTTACGGACCAGGGCCTTCTGGATTGGCAACTTCTGGAATTTTTGTTAAGCGCAGCCAGGATAGTCCTGTGAGGGAGGAAGAATTTTTTTGTGGGGCGGAGTATTCTGGAGGTGCACTTGGTGCTCTTTTTAGTTTGGAAGGGTGTATCCAATGTGGAAAGGATGCTAGCTTTCCCGTTGTGGGAGTAGTTAGGGTAACCTGGTGAGCACCCATTTACTTAGGTTGGAGAGGGGAGGAGGGGAAGTCTGTGATCCAGATCATTCTGCTGATTGTAGGGACAGGGAGGAGTGTTTTGAGAATGGACTTTTAGGCTGGGGCAAGTAAGTGTTTGTGAACTGTCTTATTAGATGTTGAGTGAGGTGTAATGCAGGCCAAGTATCCCATATAGAAGTGGGAGGAGGTACAGGGAGATCCTGGAGGATACAGGGGCATTGTACATGAGTTTAAATGGGCTCAGGCTGAGGGGCTTTTAGCATGGCTCATAGACCCCTGAGGGCCAATGGGAGAAGTGAACTTCGGGCCATCTTAACTTCTAGGGACTGTTTGGTTAGTTGTTTTAAAAGGGCATTGGCCTGTTTAATTTGACCAGATGATTGGGGGCGATAAGGAATATGGACTGCCCATTTAATATTTAGAGTCTTCGCCAGCTGTTGGTGAACTTGTGAAACAAAGGCTGGCCTATTGTCTGACTGGTTAGAAGAGGGGAGTCCAAATGGGAGGATGACGTGAGTAAGGAAAAAAGAAGTGACGTGTGTGTGTGGTAGGAAGAGTTTCTATCCATCTAGAGACTGTATCTATTATTGTCATAAAGTACCGAACTCATTTTATGGGGGGGTCATGTGGGTGAAGTTGATTTGCCAGTCTTGCCCTGGCAGGTGTCCTCAGGCCTGGTGCGTGGGGAAAGGAGGTGGTTTGATAGCTCCCTGAGGAGAAGTTTGAGTGCAAAGAGAACATGCCTTAGTAATATCTTTGAGATCGGCAGTCATGGTGGGAAAATGTGTGTAAGAGTTGGAGGAGGTGGCGGTAACAGTATGGAAATGGTTGTGTACATATGAAAGTACAGAAGGTTCCTGGGGCTTGGGCAAGACAGTTTTATTATTAAGGTAAAACCGTCCTCCTTCCTGGACGAGTGAGGTTTGTTCTTCCTGGGTACATACAGGGTGTATGCTGGGAAAAATGGGCAGTGATGATGGGGTTTTAAGAGCTGCCTGCCAGGCTGCTGAATTTGCTAAGAAGTTTTCCTTGGTTATGACACTCATAGCCTTTGGGTGTTCCTTGCAATAGATAATGGTGGCCGATAGTGGTAGTTTAGCTACCTCCAGCAGTTTGCGTAGGAGTTTGCCATTTCCTATGGGGATTCCCTTTGTAGTTAGAAAACCCCTTTTCTGCCAGATTACGGTGTGAGAGTGTAGGACATGGCATGCATATTTGGAATTGGTGTAAATGTGAACTCTTTCCTTTTCCCCTTTGCTAGGGGGGACAACTAGTCCTGCCTGTTGAGAAGTAGTATGGGGTGGGAAAGCACTGGATTCTACGAGATTGTTTTTGGCAATGATGGTGTAGCCAGCTGCAGGACATGGCTCCCTAAGAGAGCTTCCATTAATGAACCACGTAGGTGTTCCCCACAAAGGGGCTTCCAAAATGTGCTGGAAGTGGGAGGAGAGGGAGTCTAAGAGGTCCAGACAGGAGTGAGAGAGCTCAGGTGTTTACAAAGAGGGTGGCCAGGTTGAGAGCTTTAATCTCTGGAAGTTGACTAGAGGGTTACTTGTGAATAAGACATATACCTGCTGTAAGCAGAATGGTAACTTTGGGAGGCCGAGGCGGGTGGATCACGAGGTCAAGAAATCGAGACCATCCTGGTCAACATGGTGAAACCCCGTCTCTACTAAAAATACAAAAAATTAGCTGGGCATGGTGGCGCATGCCTGTAATCCCAGCTACTCAGGAGGCTGAGGCAGGAAAATTGCCTGAACCCAGGAGGCGGAGGTTGTAGTGAGCCGAGATCGCGCCATTGCACTCCAGCCTGGGTAACAAGAGTGAAACTGCGTCTCAAAAAAAAAAGAAGGGATTGATGGCTCATGAGGTCCTGTAGACTAGGGGAAGATGCCATAACATAGCCATGTGTTGGTAGAGAGTTTCTGTGCCTCTGAGCCCAGCAATGTGATTTTATTTTATTTTTTTTTTGAGATGGAGGCTTACTCTGTCACCAGGCTGGAGTGCAGTGGTGCGATCTTGGCTCACTGCAACCTCAAACTCCCTGGTTCAAGCTATTCCTTTTGGTTCAAGCTATTCTCCTGCCTCAGCCTCCTGAGTAGCTGGGATTATAGGCACATGCTACGACACCCAGCTAATTTTTGTATTTTTATTAGAGATGGGGTTTCACCATGTTGGCCAGGCTGGTCTTGAACTCCTGACCTTATGATCCACCTGCCTCAGCCTCCCAAAGTGCTGGGATTACAGGTGTGAACCACCGTGCCTGGCCCACACCCAAGATTTTCAGGCAGAGTTGCCAGCCTTGGATGACAGTCCAATTGTTTTGAGAAGTAGGCAGTGGTTTGTGGGATGTTGCCGTATGTTTGGCAGAGTAGTCTAAGAGCAAGGCCTTGGTTAGAATGTACGTACAGTAAAGGGCTTGGTGGGGTTGGGCAGCCCAGTGCTGGGGTCATTAAAAGGGCATTTTTAAAAGTTTTAAAGTGGTAGTTGATGGAGCAGGCTGGGTTCAGGGGCTCTGGGATGAGCGTTGTGAGCTATTTCTATCTGTGAATTCATGTAGAGTGGCTTGGCCAGCAAGCTGAAGTTGGAAATTCATAGCTGTAAGTATCCCACAAGGCTCAAGAAGAAGAAGAGGCCCTTCTTTGTGTGGGGAAGGGGCATGTCCCTAATTAGCTCCTTTTGTTGGGTTGGGGTGGCCAAATAATTAGGGCTGTTAAATACAGTGAGCTCCAAATTTATCTTCAAAGAATCAGTGTGCCAGTATGTTCAGTTCCTGTGTTCTTTGTTCTCTCCATTTTTAAAGTATAACTTCCTTGTTCTCTTTATCTCCTTTCCCCTAGTTTCAGTAAACAACTTTCTCACCAGCTTTAATCAGCAGTTCCCATCTGTTTCCTTGGTTTCCTGCTCTATTCTGAGTCACCCCTGGTCACCTGCTCTGATCTCAATCACCTATAGTCATGTGTTCCATAACCATTTTTCTTGGTGAAACTGCTCACCCCACCACTCATGCTCATACTCCTGCTGTCTTTAAAATGACCAATTGGAATTAGCTTAGACTGTGCAGTCAAACTCTAAGCAATAGGGGAATAACAGTAGGGGCTACCAGCATCAGGGATAAGAGCCCCTTCCCCTGCCCTGTTCAGGTATTCTCTCACCATTGCTCCATCCACAAGACCCACCCTTCTATGGAAGTAAAATTACCTTGCTGAGAAAATTTATATTCAAGTGCTATTTCTTTTGTGGCACTGAAAATTTTCTTCTGTCAGGTTAGAACAATCCCAAGATAAGTGACCTGGTTTTGGGCTACCTGAGCCTTTTGGGTGAGACCTGATATATTCAACTATGGAGGAAGTTTAAAAGCTGAGTGGTGTTGGATGGACAAGTTAAGGGAGGAGCTAAGATGATGTATTGGAGGAGGGTGTTAGGAGCAAGGGAAAGTTCAGGTCCTTGGTGAGGGCCTGTTTGAGTAGGTGGGGGCTATTTCAGAACCCCTATAGAAGTCTATATAAGTTGGGCAGATGTGTGAGTATCAGGTTCTGACCAAGTAAAAAGACGTTGGGAAGCCAGATCCAAGGGAATAGTGAAAAAGGTGTTCTTTGGATCCAATACAGAGAAGTGTGTGGTAGAGCGGGGAATATGGGAGAGTAGAGTGTATAGGTTGGGGATGGATTGGAGCCACCACCTG